ATGTTGTTATGTCGTTATGTTGCTAGTGTGGACCAGGCTTATGTGTTAGTGGACATGGGTTACTATCATGAAAAAGTCCTGTGAAGTAATAATAATAATAACATAATGATGGCAATGTTGTTGTAGTGATCAGTGATGATGGTTCTAGTAACAATGAAATTAATGATCAGGACATTTACAAATTTAGCATTTTATTGTGTAGTTTTAATTTACTTATTACAGGGTAAAAAGCAATTATAATGATTATTATCAGTGAAACTGGTTACTTTATCAGCAGTTTCAATTTTTTCCCCTCAGGCTGTCCTAACAGCTGCAAGATTGTTACATAAGAGAAAGGTAGGAAAAGTACAAAAAAAATCCAGATAGTCTATTTAAGCATTTCAGTCTTAAGCATGCTCTCATCAGCAATCTTTTTAAGAGAAATTAGATACTGACCAGTGCAAAAAAAAATATAACCTCTATTTACCCTCAGCAGTGTTTATAGCACAAGTGCTAGCAGGGCTGAGCAAACAACTGAAACAAATAATTTGAATTGAGCATAACATTGTTAAGAATCCCAACTGGCTGGAGGCAAACCAGTTGGCTATTTACAAGTGTAGCCAAAGATTTGAACTCGGGGCTTACTGAGAAACAAATCCAGGTAGTGGTCAGAGCGGGACTTGAACCTGGGACTGCTGGATTGCGAGTCTGACACGCTGACCAGTTGGCCATGCTGCCTCCTGCATTTGGAAATGAAGCTTGTTTTCTAAATAATATGATGTTACATTTATAGTAATAAAGGGTGTACTCTCTCTGTGAAAGTCTTGGCCCAATGACTGGTGTGTTGGACTTCAAATCATGGGTTTTGTTGGAGAAACCTGGTGCTGGGAGGTTACCTTTGGTGAACTAGCATCTCATCAAGGGGTGAAGGAAGGGGTGGGGGGGGGGGGGGGGGGGGGGGAGGGGAGGTGCACCCCTGCAATCTCCCTCTAGATCCAACCCTGTAGATACATGTTGTGATTTTGTCCCTGCCACATGTCACTGTGGTGTTCTACAGCATGTCCCTTCATGCATTCATACATTAAAGCTATTTTACTCTGTAATTCTGAAAAGAAAACTTGATTCAAAACCTCCATCCTCCAGGCGAAGCTTTCTCACTCTTGTTTGAAGTGGTGGTAGACATTCACTGGAGCAAAAATGGCCAGCGCACCAACGAAAGACCCAATTTGTTCACTGACACCATACCACAGAAGGTGATTGCGACCTTTCTCGCGCATCATCGCCCCAATTGCAACTTTGATGTACGTTACCACAATAACAGCACTGACGCTGATCAAAACCTTTTAAAAGAATAGAATAATTTTATGTGTAAATAAGATATTATTTTGGATTTATAGGAGTTATATACCAAAGTAACTGTAATATCACATTTTCATTTTTGTCATTGATTCTCCACCTCTAATTAATATTATTGCACGCGTGGCAAAAACATAATTTCCTTCAAGTGGTTCAAATTCTCCCCATCAATCTCCTTAACCCTTCCAAAAATGCATCTTACTACACTGCTTTTAAGCCATCTTACCCTGGCTTGTCTTAGCCAATGACCACCAGACCTATATTGTTCTTTCAGTGGAGGTTCCCCAGAGGACCAGGCCAGCAAAGTCTCCCCTTCACATACAAAATGACCAATGCATACTGCAACATGGCCAGAAAATCATTTTGTCTGGGTGTGATTCCAAATACAAAAATTACTTATTTACATTTCCCCTTTTACTCACGTTTTATGTCTCAAGAATAATTAGACTTTCTTTTAAGTGTACAGAAAGTATGACAAACAGGTTAGGTTGACCCTAGAGAATATTACATGATACTGCAGGTATAGTAGTAAGTCAGTCCAACCAAGTATATTGATTTTCTCTCTAATGCTACATGTAGTGATTAACTACTTTTAAAGGGGAGGGAACCAGCCACAGTGAAGAAAATAGCCCCTTCAACAAATTAAGGAAATTACGCTTTCCTTTCTCCAAAGCAACAGATCACTATTTACATTTTTAGAACATTCTGTAAGTTACATAACAAGCAACAGATTGATCACTAATTACACTTTTAGAACATTCAGTAAGTTACCATAACAATTCCATTTAGAATCCTCTTTGCAATAAGTGCCTCCAAGTTTTCTGAAAAGCACTTCCCATTGGTGCCTTTTGTTATTTAGTGCCCATATTGCAATAAGTACCTTTTCCCAATAAGCAGCCATTACCGAAAGTGACATTAAAGACAATGACATAGAGTGGCTGATTAGGTGAACAAATAAGTCTGTTTTTTATCGATAATAGTGAACATTATGACCATCAGAGTTCCTATAGTTACTGGTTTTGAATAAAAAAAATCTGTTGTTTTCATTGAAGTATTGCACCACATTCAGATGTAAAATTTAAAGTCCGCATGCAAGCTAAGTGGCCTATCACACCTAAGCTTATCTTGGTTTCTGTAGCATGAAGAGACTAGGAGTATTTCTACTCCCCCTCTAGATGGGATCCCAGTCCATCGCAGGGTTATCCCCAGCACTAACACCGCTACCCATTTGTACACCTGGGTGGAGAGAGGCACTGTGAGAGTAAATTAAATAAAGTGTCTTGCCCAAGAACAGAGCACTACTAGTATGTCCCTGGTCAGGGCTTGAACCCAGACTGCTTGATCTGGAGTCGCGCGCACTAAACATGAGGCCCCTGCACCTCCACATATTCAAAGTGTGTTCAAAAAGAAATAAGTGCCTCCTTCCAATAAGCGCCCTTTTTTGAACTACCTAGTCAATTAGCACCCTGGGTGCTAAAGCAAATCATCAAGGTATGCACACTACTATTTAGTCTAATATGCTTTATGCCTGGGCCATGAATAATGTCCCTATATATTTCTTAATGTGACACAATCTACTTACAATCAAAACAGCGCCCAAATCTTCACATCGTAACAGCACATTGGGACTCTGTGACGCTATAACAATAATGTATGTGCACATACCAAGATACACACAACACAGCACTTCTATGACGACTGTTGATTGGGTTCGGATAAATGGAAACACCAAGCAGGTGACTGGATTGGCGATGTTAGACAGCGTGAGCGTTAGATGATAAATGTAATAGCTGTAAGGTATACAGGCATACGACTGGATAGCTGGTATGACTCCATTGCTCAACCCACTGACTACGGCTAAAATCACCAGAAGAATGATGATACTGATGGTGGACAAATTTCCAGTGTCGTCATCTTTATCAGGGTTGCTTTTCTTCTCCTCATTAGAGCCAAGCTCTATGCCTTCCTCGTGTGTCTGGGTCTGTTTGGCATCCAGGTCATATGTACTGTGCTTTACCTGCTGTCGTTTGGCCACAGGCAGGTGATTCAGGCCCAGAAAGGCCAAGCCACAGGCTACCATCATTCCAGTCAGAAACCAAAAGAACACTTCTGCAGAGAACTTTGGACCAGGTCCCCAGCTACCAGAGCTGGTATCATTTCCCGAAGTTTGATCAGTGGTATTCACGGGAGCTTGAGTGGGGTTTACACAGGAGGTGTGTGACCCCCCTCCCACACCCTGCGCCAAGGCTACAAGACTTGGCAAAAGGCCACTTAATCCTTCACCAGCGAAGTATGGGCTCATGTATACTGCTCGGAAGATTGCCATGTATGGTAGGAACGCGACAGAAGAGGTACAATCTACCGTGGCAAGAAAGAAACACAGAACCAAAAGCGCAGTGCTCCGTTCAGCTCCTGCGATGAAGCTCGTTTCTTTCCAGAAAAACGCCAAAAGCGCACATGCGGCGATTCCAACAAGAACGCTGATGTAAATGACCGGTACCTCGCGAACTACACGTGGGAAGAATTTATTTCCCAGAGTAAATGCCAAAGGCGCTATGTTGGCCAGTTGAATTATAACGGTTAGGTAGGATGGCAGAGACCAACTTTCAGGGATTTCTTGAACAATTATGGGTAACTCGACCCACAGTCCGTTGATCGCGATCCATGAACCAGTGCCGAATATCACAACGAGTACGTATGTGACAATGGAAATGCCAGAAAAAGTGTTCTTGATGCGGTTCTTTATGCTTTCCCAGGTCATTTTGACAACTTAGTACTATCGAGTCCTTTAACCTTTCCAGGTGGTAGAAAATTTGAAATGCTGTGCCAAAGTTCCAAGCAAACAACCTCGTCGCTCAACGACCAATCGACCAATATTGTACTTCACGCGTCACTTCACGCGCCCTTCACGCGATGATGCAATGTTAGGGGGGATAACTGCGACTCCTATCAATTCGTGGTGTTACCGCGGTCTCGTTGATAGGGCCAGTGTGAATCAACTGCAAATAAGACGGTGTCAATTTTTAAGAGCTCTCAATTGAACTTATTGTTTTATCTTATAAAAAAGCAATTTTACAGAAGAACTTCTAGTTCCCATATCTGTGTATCCTACAGTAGGTTTTCATCCTCCCTCCCTTCTTTTCTTTCTTACTCTCTCCCTGTGTCCGAGTGATGTGAGCCCCTTGGCCCATTATACAGCGGTTTTGAGTCGAAGACGTATACGGTTCATCATGGATAGTAGAAGACTGGATTGGAAACGTACATCACGTGGGTAGATTTCTCATCGCCGATTGGTTGTTTCGTGCTTCAAGATGG